GGGAAGACAAGCATTCAATGGATGAGAGAGAATCAAAGAGAGAAATTCAAAACCTAACGGGAAGGGCATTTTGGTATAAAATTAGCACAGAACCTCCAATTTGGGTGTGATTTTACATTAATAACCCCATTCGGGCCATTGTGGACAAAAAGAGCGTGGCAGAAAGGAATTTCCTTTGAGATATTACGCTTTAGTGTGAAAATTCTTTATATGTATTTTTTTTCAAAAAACATAATTTTCGTAGTAGTAAATGATAATGCATCGAGATATGTTTTTTCCCTGACATCAAAGTATGTCTACTTATAAAAAGTGCATCAAAATATGTTTGCATTTTTATATATGAAAGTCTAAAAACAGTTGTAAGGATTTAGAGTTAACTTAATTTAAAAGCCAAAGTAAAATCAAAATTAAATCCAGACAAAAAAAAAAAATCAAAATATAACCATGCATTTACTTTTTTCTGATTTTTTTGAGTATTGAAGTGGGTGCAATCTCTTGTTTGTTTTGTAATCTAGTCTTTAAGTAGAAACAAGGAGGTTCAATAGCTGATGGAACCCTATGTGTCATTAAAAATTGGCTCTTGGACCCCACATGTGCCAGACTTCTTCCACGTATCACTAAGTCATCAAGTTTTGTGGGTAAATTCTTGAAACTTGGTCAGTAAAAGGGGCTTAAATCATGGGAAAAACAGGCATGTTGATGATACATGCAGTTGAAGGACCCAAATTGTCGCTTCTAATATAAGAGAAAAGTAAAAGGGGCTTAAATCATGGGCCAGACAGGCATGTTAATGATACATGCAGACCCCACATGTGCCAGACTTCTTCCACGTATCACTAAGTCATCAAGTTTTGTGGGTAAATTCTTGAAACTTGGTCAGTAAAAGGGGCTTAAATCATGGGCCAGACATGCATGTTGATGATACATGCAGTTGAAGGACCCAAACTACCGCTTCTAATATAAGAAAATCTAGTCTTTAAGTAGAAACAAGGAGGTTCAGTAGCTGATGGAACCTTATGTGTCATTAAAAAATGGCTCTTGGACCCCACATGTGCCAGACTTCTTCCACGTATCACTAAGTCATCAAGTTTTGTGGGTAAAATCTTGAAACTTGGTCAGTAAAAGGGGCTTAAATCATGGGCCAGACAGGCATGTTGATGATACATGCAACTGAAGGACCCAAACTGTCGCTTCAAATATAAGAGAAAAGTAAAAAGGGCTTAAATCATGGGCCAGGCAGGTATGTTGATGATACATGCATACCCCACATGTGCCAGACTTCTTCCACGTATCACTAAGTCATCAAATTTTGTGGGTAAATTCTTAAAACTTGGTCAGTAAAAGGGGCTTAAATCATGGGCCAGACAGGCATGTTGATGATACATACAGCTGAAGGACCCAAACTGTTGCTTCTAATATAAGAGAAAAGTAAAAGGGGCTTAAATCATGGGACAGACAGGCATGTTGATGATACATGCAGCTGAAGGACCCAAACTGTCGCTTCCAGTATAAGAGAAAAAGTAAAAATAAACAAATGAAGCCCCCCGTCAAATATCAAAAATTGCCATAGCATAAATTGCAGCAAACACTAAAAATAGATAAAAAATATATGAAACCGCATCTTTTAAAGTTGCATCATACTCTGAAAATAGACAAAAATAACAGAAATGTAAGTTTATATTAAATCCTTTTTCTGACNCACAATTCAGAATGAAAGAAAATAAAGGTTGTAAAATATATATTCCATGCACGTAATATAAAAAAACTTATTTAAATAAAGGTATTTTATAATATACATTATATATTCTTGAATATTATGCTCAATTATATTAAAGCTTGTAGAACATTATTCATTAAATNTGTTAGGCAAGTAATTACTTGGTTTGTTAGGAGTCAAGTATAATTGAGAGCAATGCTTTAACATGGGCGTGAGACGCGGCGAGGCGTAAGCCCTGAGACTTGGGGAGTAAGTCCCACGGATCTTTAAATTTACTAATTTCAAGAATTTTAAGATAGAATAAAATAAAAAATAATTATAAAAAAATTACACTAATTCACGAAATTATAACAAACAGTCTATTTAAAATATTTATAAATTATAATTCAACTATGAACAATACGAAAAGTATACAATATATCATAATATGCAAATTAGTTGCAACGTCGTTACAACTCAAATATCAAAAGTAATGTATTCGATACGAAATCTTATACATATTTCTTAAGGAGTAATGAATCTTGAAAGAATTTCGATATTATAATTTGATATTTTTTTTTTCAAAATACTCCTTTTATTTAATATGCTTTCTATTTGAAAGAGAATTTATATAAAAACATAATTCACAATTTAAATATGATTCTCTAGCATCATTATTTTTAAGTTTCAACAAGTTAATAAAATGACACATAAGTCACCATACAATACCATGATAACTAATTATTTGTAAATAGTTAATCGCTAATACCGAGCTATTAAATTAATAGGTATTGTATCTCGTAAACATGAAAAAAAATATTTAGGAAAATAATTATAAAAAAATTATGGACTATTGTATAATAAAGACATAATAAAAGTTAATAAATAAATACCTTTTAAATGATAGATTTATTTAAATTTACTATCATAGCAGTCTTAGTGGATAACATGCAATAATTTTTATTGTAATTATGTCAACTTAATGATTTATGATTAAGAAAAAATAATTTTGAATAGTTAACGATTTATTAAGAAAATTTATGGATTAGTTGCACACAGTTGCATTAAGTTCTATTAGCCGAGCCAGTACGCTAGGCGTTGGGCGTGTCCGGGGCCTAAGCCTCGATGGCCGAGGCGTAAGTCTCACGGAACTAAACCCCATACATAAGGCCATGAGCGTTTTACGAGTGCTCCGCCCCGGGGGCATCCCAATTCTGCCTTTTAAAATAGTAAGAAGGAGTAATTACACTCTCAAATTCTCAAATGAGAGGAGAGAATTGAACGTAATTACAAGGTAACTTTTCAGATTTTTTTTCAAATATATTTTCTTTAAAAAAACTTTTCCGATAGTGAGAATCTATATTATATTAAAAGCATGAAGGCCTTTAGCGAAATGTCGTTCGCTTTTTTTACCTTTTAAAAATATAGTTTACATTGGATAAAATAGTAATTTTATTATTTTCCTTTTGAACACCTAATTTTTGCCCTAATGAAAATCACTACTAAAAATATTCCAAATAGTTTAGAAGTGTTTTAAACCATAAAAAATCATAAGAAAATGTTTAACTTTTTATGTCATAGCATTTTAGACCTTAATTGCATTTAGGATTTAATTACATGCATTATCAAACGAAAATCACAAAAAATACAAGTCATTTTTACATTTTAGCTTTTAGTTTTAAATTAGTAATTTTTTTCATTAGTTTTAAGTTGATCAATTATTTAAATGTTAGAAATAGATTTTAGGTTTAATCCCAAAAATTATATTTGATTTAGGAATTAATTTAGGTACTTTATTAATTTGATTTAGGAATTTTTATTTAAAAAAGGAAAGAAAAACAAAAAAAAAAGAAATAAATAGCTTGTTTGGTCTTAGTTGAAATTGGGCCAAAAGCCGAATCTAATTGGCCCAATTACCAATTCTCCCCCCAAACCTGTCCAAGCCCACTACCCATATAATTCCCATAAAATTTTGAAATCCAACAGTATTGGAAACCAACGACGCCTAAGATCAAAAAAAAAAAAAAAAAAAAAAATCCGAGAAAACCTAAAAAAAAACGAACTGAAGAAGATTAGGAGCCCGTTTGGCTTAGCTGATAAGCATAGGTGCTGAAAAGCACTTTTAAGTGCTGAAACTGATTTAAAAAATAAGCAGTTACGTGTTTGGATAAAAGTGCTGAAATTAATAATAAGCAGCTAAAAAATTGGGTATACAAAGAGTTTTGTTTTAAAAAGAAGTATTTTAGGGATAGGATAGTAAATATTTTGGTCAAACCTAAAGTGCTTATAAGCTGAAATTTGATAAGTCGGGGGAGACCAACTTATGGCTTTTGGCTTATAAGCACTTAACTTATAAGCACTTTTAATTTTACCAAACGCGTAGATAAGCCAAAAAAGTGCTTGTAAGCCAGTTTGACCCGCTTATAAGCTTAGCCAAACACCCTCTAGGATTCAAAAGGAAATTTTGAAGTCGTCTCAATTGCTAGATTATCCTGCATATTCTGGGTTTTTAGGGAGTGATTTAAACTCAAAATGGCGGCTTGATTTTGCTGCTAATCGGTGGATCTGTTTCGTTAGGCTCAATTTCTTCGCCTTTTATCTGGTTTTTGGAGCTGTAGACTTGCGCTCCAGGTACCCCTCTTTGCTTCTTGCTTCATGTAATGTTCATAGTATTAATTGAATATTACCTTTCGGTTATAATATTATATCTGTCTTTAGATTTGAGACATGTCTGCTTCTTAATTGTTATTGTTTGGATCATTCTTAGAATCAAAGATTAAATCCATCCTTCGTGGCAGTACATGTGAATGTTTGGCCGATGAAAGTTAGTTGCTATAATATGAATATGATTAATTGAGCATGATTCTGTTGTTAAGTTCTGAAATCATTATTTTCTTAATCTGTTCTGGTTCTTAGATTCGTCATGTATATCTGTTATTGTAAGTTTTAGCATTTGAGTTGATTAATTGGCTGGAAAATGAAGGCTAAAATTGGCTATTACTCTAAAGTGGCTATCACTGCAATGTCCAAAGTGGCTATTAATTCATTTCCGATTGTGATCCAATTTCATCCATCAATTTTTTCTGTTGGTATGTACTTTGGCAATTAATTCAAACTTCCATGGCTCAGAAATTCCCGTCATTAATTACACATGACTTTCCAAACAGACCCTTAATATTTGACGGAGTCCACAAATGCTCGTTTTTAACAAATTTAATGGACCAAAACTGGTCAGCAATATATTTAAGGGACCATTGGAACCTAACCCCAAAGATAAGGTACCGCGTTTTTTTTCTTTTTCTTGACCATGTTTTATCTTTTTTCTCCTTTATTCAAATATCAATTCTTTTCAAAAAGATGCATTATAGCAACTTCCAATTGGTAGACAAATCTGAAATCTGCGCCTTTTCACAGGTTTTACAAGTTACAGAAAATATCGATCCACAGATTCTCTGTTTTAAATTCGCATTTTAACCTTCTTTGATTGTATTTTTTGGATTTAGGTTACAGTAAATTATCTTGCTAAAAGTGAAAAAAAGAAGAAGAAGAAGAGAGGAGATGGATCCGGATTCAGTGAAATCAACTCTCTCTAATTTAGCATTTGGAAATGTAATGGCTGCTGCTGCTCGTGATTACCAGAAGGTTTGTACTTTTTCTTTCCCTCTGATTTGAATCTCTCTTATTTTATTAATTTGGATAATTAAATGGACCTGATTAGAGTAAAGTTTGAATTTTTATGTGCAGAAAATAATAAAGTTTGGATATTTGTGTCCAAATAGAGCGGAATTGTTACTAAGGATTTATATAGCAAATTTCTACTAGTTTGGGATTGAGGCATAGTTTTATGTGCAGGTGTAATTGTATGTATATTGAAACTATGAATTCTTAAAATTCTATACTAATAATTCTATCCAGATGTTTGTGATGGAGCATTAAATTGTTTTACTGACCACAGAGTTAACTCTGCATGACCATTCCTCCTTGAGGCTCAGATAATTGCTTTTCAGCAAATTAATAAAAGAGGGTGCATTTGTCATGAAAGAAAATATTTTCAAATTCAGTAGAATTTACATCCTTTTTCCTACAACTAGTAAGGACTGGTATGAAACTCTTCATAATTATGGCATCCTAATGTGAAGTATACTTTTCTGGTGCCTCAAGCTTATCTAATGGAGTAATTGTATTAAAATGACACTATAGTATTTACATCAGTAGCCAAGCAACTAAGAGCTACAGGCCGTGTCTCTATTGTGTGGCTAGATTAATGCTGCCTCTGGTCTCAGGATAAAGACGTCCTTCTATGGGAAATACTGAGAATTATTTACTATGTTAATCTGTTTATTTCTATACTCCAATTACTAACCATTTAAGACCGCTGTTTTGTTAATAAGCTAAGAAGAAGTCATTTAGATATAATGAGTTAAGTCAACATTTCGGGGGAGTTAGACCTTAATCTTACTTGCTATTCCTTTGAGATAGCCTAATATTTGATATTGATAGTTAAATCATTGTAATATACCTCAAACATCCCGCAGTTTTATTTAGCGGGTATTAACTACTGATCATTGTATGCAACTTCACCCTTTAGGAAGTGTTGGCTCAAGAGAAGGCGCTAGCATCATCTTCTGTTAATGAAGACATAGATCTTGATGAACTGATGGATGTAAGTTTGCTTATCCATCGCCGTTTCTCGTTCTAGGCACATAATTTGCATGTATGTTTACTTGCTCATTGTGCTTTTAACAGGACCCTGAGCTGGAAAAGTTGCACGCAGATAGGATTGCGGCTCTCAAGGTCTGTTATTTTGTCTTGCCTGCAGGTCAACACAGTTAGTGATATCTGGAGGCAAGGTGCCTTAACGTTGAACAATTGTTTGTCTTGATTCTGTTCTAAAGAAAGAAGCAGAGAAGCGAGAAGCTCTAAAAAGGCGAGGGCATGGAGAATATAGAGAGATTAGTGAAGGAGATTTTTTGGGTGAAGTTACTGGTTGTGAGAAAGTGATTTGTCACTTCTACCATCGGGAGTTCTATCGATGCAAGTAAGGAATTACTTCATGTTTGACTGTTTACTTCCCTTCCCACATAAAAGAAAAAGACATAAGAGGGGGGTTCTTTCTGGATAGCTGTTTCTGTTATTCTTTGCTGCTATTGGTGTTTGAGATAAAGCGGGAGGGGGAGAGTAATTTGCCAAGTTAGATCAATTCTGGTATATCTCATACTGTAGATTTGTAGTTTGAGTTTCTTTAGAAGTCAGTAGTGCAAGAACTTAATCTGATGCAACAAGCTTGACACTCATAAAAGTGTTGCCTAAATTTGCATCTTGAAGGTTCCGTTTGTGACAGCTTTAACATGGTTAACTGGTCATCCAAATTTTTAATTGGCCAGATTGTGACAATTCTCTTGCTTCTCTTCCTACTTCAATGCGTCGATGCTCAGCATAGAATAATCTAGCTATACATACTAGTGAAAGGGAAAAAGAGTAGGAATCTAGCTGTGTATATCCACATGCATGCATGCACAAACATAATGGTATTTGTTGCTCCTTCAGGATCATGGATAAGCATTTAAAGTCTCTCGCACCAAGACATGTTGATACAAAGTTTCTAAAGTTGGATGCGGAGGTCTGTATATCTTGAGTTTTTGTATTCTTCCTCAGATTAGTACAGTAGGAACAGTCCTGAAATTTTGTGAAGTATCTGCACCCAGAAGAAAAAGGGGGGTTGGAAAAAAAGAGGGTGTGGGTAAAATGAGGGCAAGGGGCTGGTACAAAATATTAAGGGGGGGGGGGGGGGGTTAATTAATGACACATGTCATTTTGTGGTCTTTTTGGACACGAGAAATAACTCACATTAGAGTTGTTAGTGGAAAAGGGTAGTGGTAGCTCACTTATTTGACGGTAGGGTTATGGTGGAGCTCAAGTTCAAACGGAGGGTATGAATAGACCATCTTGAATACCACAGGGGCAAGTTTGAGCCTTTTCCCAAAAAGAAATCTCACAAAAGAAAGGAAGGAAAGACTGGCTCTATAACTTTTTGGGAACTGTTCATTGGATCTGATTTTCCTGCTATTTCTCATTTTATCTTGTATACTTGATGCAGAATGCTCCTTTTTTCGTTACGAAGCTGGGAATTAAAACTCTACCATGTGTCATCTTTTTCAGGTTAGTGCCTCCTGGTCTATTTAACCTTTAGGGTACTCTGCTTCGCACAGCTGTATTCTTTCTCATATATTTTATCCATGTTTGGGTGGTTCTATGGTTGTTTTCAATATTAAGAACTTCAAATAGCTCTTTCCTTCAAGCAAGAAGAATGAACCTAAATTCTCCTAATTTATTGGTCTAAATCTATCAAAACAGGCCCAATGCACCAAGGGAAGTAAAATATCTGTCTGTCAGTGAATTAACTGTTTAGGGCAGGTTGGCCAGCAGTTAACATTTGTGTAGCGGGCAGAACAGTCTTAATTGTTTCAGGTCTTGGATTTGATTAGGCAGGGGAGCTACCCTATCTTCTATATATTATTAAAAGGAGAGGATAAAGCCCTCTCCTTAAGCCAAGTGGCAGCATAAAAAAAAGACCACATGGCATAATTAGTTACTAATTAGTTTTTTAGTTAATAATTAGTTATTATTTATTATATTTGAATTTATATATCTATAAAAACGAAAATAATAAAAAATAAAAAACTGAGTAGTTTCAAGTTGGATTTTGAAAATAAAAAAATGAAATAAAAAAAATAAAAATTATCATTTCAAATGGGGGAGTAGTTTCAAGTTGGAGTTTATAATTGTTTTAAAATAAAAAACAAAAATAAAGCAATAAAAAACTTTTGATTCAAATTGTGGAGTAGTTTCTTTCTAATATTCTATATATTATTAAAAGGAGAGAATAAAGCCCTTTCCTTATGCCAAGTGGTAGCCTAGAAAAAACCTTATGGAATAATTAGTTAATAACAAAGAAATTATCTATTGAAAATTAACAAAGAAATTAACTACCTAAATTAACTACTAAAACATGGGGGAGAGTTGGTTTAGGTTAGTTAATTTCTTTATTTCATTTTTTAAAATCATTTTCCTTTTTATTTTTTGAAATAAAAAGTATATCTATTCATTAAAATTCAAACAATATTATTGAGAAAAATATAATAAAATTTAAAATAAAAAATAAATATTTTCAAGAGTAATAAAATATAAATCTTCTATTATGTTACAAAAAAGTAGCAGACAAAAATATTAAACAAGTAATATGCTAATAATCTATCTATATATTATTAAAAGCCAAAGAAAAAGGCACCACATTAATACAGGTGGTAGCCTAGATAAAAGCCACATGACATAATTAGTTAATAACAAAAAAATTATTTATTGAAAATTAACAAAGAAATTAACTACTCAAATATCGGTGAGAGTTGGGTATATCGTATTGACAAATAAAATGACAACTGAAATTTATTAAAGCAATATGGTCTAATAGTATCAAACAAGAATGATTATAATTTAATTTTTTCTTTTTAATATTGACCGCGCATCGCGCGGGTACGACTACTAGTTTTACTCTAAATTAGACGAGGGAGCTATCATGATCTTCACAAACATAGTTTAAAGTCACTTGTAGCTTCATTAAAACAGTGGATAAAGGGAAAGGGGTACACTCTAGCATTCTTATTTATGGTTCCAGTCCTAAACTTCCTGAAATTCATACACATACATGTGAACGTAATTATCAACACATCCTAGGTGTGTGGTTAATCATATGTGTGGTTAATCATACTCTTTCTTTTTCAGATGATGTCATTTCCTTTTGTTCTACACCTAAAAGAATTTTGCTTTTCAGGAATGGAATAGCTTCAGATAGGCTGGTTGGTTTTCAAGATTTGGGCGGAAAAGATGATTTCAGCACGAGGACTCTGGAGGGTCTGCTGTTAAAGAAAGGTAATGCTTTTTAATTGATGATTCCTATCGATCGATAGCTTATTGCAGTTACTAAACCATCTTCGGTGCAGGAATCATCAAAGAGAATAAGGAAGAAGAAGATGATGAAGATTCATATGGTGAAAGAAATAAGACAGTGAGATCGTCAATCAATCCAGATTCTGATTCAGACTGATGAGTTATTAGTGGTCACCAGTTTTGAATCATATGACTATTCGTCAGCCTTGAATGCATTCGTATCCAATGTTTCTTGGTAAATTATTCACCGTATAACAAAAAGTTCCAAATCGTAGAACTATTAAGTGCTGCGTATGTAAGCGCATTATCCCTCTTTGAAGCTTTCATGTCATACCCTAATCTTTTCAAAAGCTCAGCTCTACGTAATCTGCTTTAATTTTTTTTGGAATTAAATGTTTGCTTAATTCCATTCATATTTAGCATTAATATCTCTATAAATGGATGTCCAGTATTATCACCAAACTCTGCTCTCCTCCGTATATTCCTTTTCTCCACTTGTTTCATATCTTTATATTCCTGCCAGATCTCTCTTCTTATAAAAGTTGTTTTGAAAGAAATCTCTAATTAGCCTTATTTTCTCTGTTGATGCATAGATGCTGTGCTTTGATTCTTGATGTTCGAGATTATGTCTCCAGTAATCAGTGAAGTTCTTCTGTCTGGTTTTACCATTAACTCAACTCTGCATCGTCGTACTCACTTAGTTCAATCCTTCTCAGTCGTCTTCCTCTACTGGTTCTACGTGTTTTCATGAAACAGTAAACCTGAGTTTCCTTTTTCTTACTCATTAAACTTCATTCAAGATCCCAACCCCTTGACTACATTTTAGCTATTATTTACCTTTTGTAGCAGGGTACTTTTATTTTCCAGGTAACTCAGATGGCTGAGTTAAGCCAAAGGCTGCAGTCTCTAAAGGACACCATTAACTGCAGGAATTCAGCAAATACAACTAAAGGAACTGAGGATTATTTATGGGACTATTATGAAGGAAACATGAATCATGTTAATGGTGGTGATGATTCCTTCAACACTTGGAATTTGCTCCATGTTAATCAGCTTGTCATGGCTTCTAATGATGAGCAGATCATTTGGTCGTTATAAAAACATTTAGAATGATAAATGGAATTCAAGAAAAAGGAAAATGAGAGTTGATAATTGGTCGTTTCTTTTGTTACTATTAAGATAACAGAAGATCCGTTACTGTGTGTAAATTGAGGAAATGAGCCTTCATCGCTTTTTACAATATTGAAATTAAAAAATATATCTTTTTTAGATCTCTTATAGATTTCTTATGTGTTAAATCAAATTTTTCGTACGTAAAAAAAAAAGATAAGGTTATAAAACTAAAAATTAATTTGTAATGATCCACAAAACTATTTGACGCGTGTAAATTAAATAACTGCAATTCTCTTTTGTTGTAAGATAATGACTCTGTTGGGATGTTGCTCTATTTCATTTTCATTAGACTTTCTATTGGGTGTTCAAGATTACTTTGAATTTATTAATTTGTTTTGCTAAATAATTCACAAGCTTTTATTTCCCTACTTGGTTTCGCTTATGCAATCCTTCACTACAGTGGCCTTTGACAAATAGAAAATATAATCGTTAAGTACAATTTGTAAAATATTTGGTTGGTGGAAAATTGGCGGTGAAATTTCTTTCATTCGGTTAATAAAAGGTGTCGAAGGTTGTTGGGCATGCATAAATTGAAATATCAAGCTTGAATTATTGGCAAAAAATGGGGTTTTAATATATGATGATATTATATAGTAATACAGAACAAACTAAACCTAACTTATAGCTAAAGAAACACTAGATAAAACAACGTTTCTCCAGCCTAGAGAGAGAGGCTCCTCCTCCTCTCTACTCACACCGCCCAAATTCTAGCTAGAAACAATGCCAAACCACTCTATTGACAGCCAACCAACAACTTCAATTCCACCAAAACCACCTGATATTGAAATTATCCTTCTCAGCCAACAATACTAGAATCAAATAACTCGTATAAGGATAAACTGCTTGGGAAAATCCCAAACACACTTGAAGACCTGACTGACTCCAATTGCTCCCCCTCACCTATGGAAGTCGAAATTTTCTTGGGGTAGTGGTACATGCCCATAAGCTACAGTACTAACAGCAAAAACAATATCAATTTCTTTAAGGGAAGAACAACTAAAGTATCTTGACATGGAAAAGAAATCACTTTATAAACCAAACAGTCATTCAACTAGATCAAAACCTGTAAGTAGTTAAATAGGAGAAATAGAACAAATCGCTTAACACATTACTCTTGTCAGTGAATCTCCATCTTTTTTTTTTGGTTTCTCATCCGGTATTCGGTACCCGCATTGGAATCCGACTAATTCGAATTCGCATCGCGTAGGGCCCATTTGGGGGAAGCGCTCCTTACCAAGGATTTATCCATTTCCATGGCTCGAAACCGAGACCTCTGGTTAAAGGCGGAACAGCCTCATCCACTGCACCACATCCTTTGGTGGTTTCCATCTTCAGTTGTCTTCAACTTGTGACTGAAAACAGCAAGGTATAACCTAAATAAAACTTACCCACATCCCGTGTCACATCCGGTGTGTACATCAAACCAATGAATGCAAGACATGTATGTATATACACACTGTGATATGTATTATAACCCCCAATAGCAAACAAGAAAAATTAGGATTACCAAACGGAATTTTGTTCTTCATCTGCCATGTCACTCTTTGGATTCTGCATTTGTTCTTATCATGTTCTTTGTGACGACCCGAAACCTCGAAATTTGATTTTTGAGGGAAAAATGGTAATTTGACCGAACCCGTAGGTTCGAGCCGTCGACTTATCGGGACTGGTTGGATCGATTTCCAAAGGTTCCGGATGAGTTTGTGCGAAACTAGTCACTTAAGTGGTTAAGAAGGGTTCCGACAATCAAAACCGGGCAAACGAGGTCGAAACTGTAATTTGACGACGCATACAGGTTCGTGTCGTCATTTGTGACCCATAGGAACTGGAATCGTGACCAAGGTAGTGGTAGTTGGTTGGCGATGAGTACGAACGACATGCACCTTCCTTTTTGTGGAAGATCCTTCCATCCTTGGAGACAAGTTTACACTCTTTTCAATCTTAGTAGAAGTTTTAGCCGATGAGGAGAGCTCAGTGGGAGCTAGAGCACCACTCTCAGCTTCTGTCTGATCGAAATCATCGAAAAGCCATAGGTCGGAGTGCGCGTACTAAGACTAAGGTTAGAGCTCACCTATCCACAGTGTCCTCAAACTCCAAATCCACAGTGTCCTCAAAGCGGAGAGGAAAGCTTCATAAAACAAATAATCCTAACGGATCAAGACATTGAACGCATTTATGAACCCTGGAAATTTTCAGTTATAATCAAATTAATAGGGAAAAGATTTCTCCATCATTACCTAAAAACAAAAGTACAAGCCCTTTGGAGACCAACGAAATTTTTTCCCCTGATAGACCTTGGCGAAGACTACTACACGGTTAAATTCAACAAAGAAGAAAATGCCAGGAAAGCTCCACAACGGACCATGGTCATCAATGGTTTCTTCCTCTCAGTCCAGAAATGGACTCCCAACTTTGTAGCTACACGAACAAGTCAGAGTTACACAGCTATTTGGGTCCGACTGCCACAACTTCCAACTGAATTTTACGATAGAATCATACTTGTAAAGATTGGAAATGCTATTGGAAACCTACTAAAAATTGATGCATGCACATCTTCTACCATTAGAGGCCGCTATGCAAGGTTATGTGTACAATTACCATTGGAACAAAAAGTCCAATCCCATATCTTAATTGTATCACACAAGCAAGTTATATTATATGAAGATGATAATATTTTATGCAAATTATGTGGCTGCCTGGGACACTCTTCCTTAAAGTGTCCCTACCCAATTACACAAAGCCCACAATTGGCCAATGGTGAAGACAAAAGAAACTCAGCATCCACTGAAGCTATCAATGGGGAGTGGCGGACGGTCTTATTCCCCAAGAAAATAAGTCAATTATAAATTCAAGCGGGCAGGTAGGAGATACAACAAGCAAAATCCCAGGTATAAACGTCAGAGTTTTTGATGCATCGACAGGTAAGTTCCTACTCAGCAACTGAAATATGTTGATAAGAATTCTATCATCCATCAAACACCTGAAAGTACAAAAAACTCTGATAAATCCAACGTGGAAATAGTTAAGAATAATAATCATACTTTCCTTATTATTAACAGTAACATTAACAATAATTTTAATAAGTTAAATAAAGAGCACACGGATTCCCCACAAACCAGTGGTAAAGGGAATACCACCACACTCTTGCATGGGAGTAATCTTCCAACGAGGACACGTGGAAAAAATGTGTCCTCCAATGATACTTCTACTACTAGCGTCCAGATTATTATCCCTACTAAATAAGGGCCTAATGACACTACTAACGACCCTTCTATTTCCAATACAAACCCCCCTAAGATACTACACCACAAGAAACCCTCCGTACTAATCATAACCCTCTAGGAAACCCCCTAATACAATCTGCATGCCGATAGTTAACCACCCCAACGAAGAACACTTGGCAAAAAGAAATCAACAAATGTCGGACGTGATATCCACAAGGAATCTTGTTAAAATTCATATGCAAGCACCCGCTTCTTCCATGCAAATAGACCCCATCATTGTAAAACTCCCAAATCCACCATCAGAATCCATATTTACTAGCCTACAAACTTCTATATTAAACCATCATATCTCCCACCATGCCTCGCACACCATTCACCTTGAGAAGGAGATACAGTCTTGTTCAACTCCAACGTCTACAACGACCATACCTAATGGACAACCTACCACCACTACCACCCCAATTCCCAGCTCAACCAGTGATATATGCTCAACCACCAAGTCCACCCAACCACCATCCAAAATCCTGGATCGAGTTTGGCCTAATGGGCCATGCGATCTCCTTCAACCTACAAATCAACGGGCAGTACTCAGTCCTCATCATCCAAAACACAAATTACCTAGCCCAGTTGATTTCAAAAGGCATGCATCTTGCTGTGACCAACTACATCAATCAGATGTGGATGAGCAACATCTTACAACCACTAGCCCCCTAGATGAATCAAAATTTAGCCAACAACATACAGGAGATGTAGAATATACCGGGCAATCCAAACACCGTGATGCCCCAAAACATTCCTCTCAACTTACCCTTCTTTGCACCAGAGGAAATGTCCATAATGAATCCCATATTCACCCATGGGTTGTGAAACAAGCTCCAACATAACAAGCTCCTCATCAGAACTCCCCAATGCATATAGAGCCCCATGCACAACAGACGGACATGCAAAACCAGGAGGAAAATCAAGAGGAGGAGGAGGAGGAGGAGGAGGAGGAGGAGGAAAAAGCACTTCCACATCATGGAGAACCCAAGGTGACATTCTCAAACCTAAGCGAGGTAAAAATATTAATCTTCAAGGAATGGCTAGACAAGAAGTGTATCATCAGTTGTCCCCTAACACTGTTCAAATGATCGATAGACATAAGGCCTCCACACGATCCAACAGTAGGAAAGAATATGGTAATTCTAGTGCCCTCCCACAAGAGCAACAATGCAACAGTAATGAGGGAGAACAACCAAAGCCACCCCAACCCATTAATGATGAATCAACCAATTAGCTTTATAATCTGGAACGTTCGAGGTGCAAACAATGCAAACTTCAGAAGAAACTTTAGAGAAATTATGGACACACATAGGCCTAGTATGGTAACCCTGCTAGAAACAAGAATGGCAAACCATATTTCAATCTTGGAGGAGTTCAACTTTACAGAAATGATTGAGGTTCCGGCGGAGGGTCAATCTGGAGGTCTGGTGATCTTATGGAACCATGCAAGAGTTGTAGTTAACAACTTCACCAAAAGAAATCAGGAAATTCACGCTATGATCGAGGTAAAACCAAATCACAAAAAATGGCTCTTTACTTCCATATATGCTAGTACTGACAAAAGTAATAGAGATATTCTATGGCATAATATTGAAAATATCTATAATAACTACAAAGGTGCTTGGCTAATGGGAGGGGATTGTAGTGATGTTATTATGGGCTTTCGTCATCCATATCCATCACAGTCAGGGGTAAGCGCATCCATACAGACTAGACTCCTTTAAATAAAAAAAAGGCTTCTTGTTGGTAAATACCCCCTTCTCATCAACGTATTTTTAGCATTAACGAAGGGG